TTTAAGGCCCTCTTTGATTTGGGGCAATAGTGTTCATTGGCCCAGGGAAGCAATGGTCTCTTCCAGGTGAAGAGCAAGAAGGGAAACATTCTTTTGAGAAGGAGGAGAAAAAGGGAAAGAATTGGCTGAAGAGGCTGAATGGAAGCTGTAATGGATGCAGTTAGTCTCTGGGAAGGACCCAAAAGCAGCCCTTGATTCCTTAAGACAATTAAAAGCAAATTGTCCGGCTGAGCGATCCCAGAGCAAGGAAGATGCTCTCCAGACTATAATTCAAGGGGCTGAATGGCCCTCAAAAACTGAGAGCAGAAAGAAAAAAAACACCGAAGATGAGGCAAATGATGGAACAGATGTGAGTGCTTTTGTTGGGAAGACTTGGAGGCTAGCGGGATGGCGATAGGCTAATTTGAGGCGAATAATGCCAGGTTCCTTTCATATGCAGAATAGCACTTTGATCCAATGTGGATGAAAGTACTGAAAAGTGGAGAGGATGGTAGGGGGTCTTTTGTCTTTGACAAAAAAGGCATCTGCCAGGCTCTAACTCCCTTTTCCCCACCCCCTTAGCCTAGCAGGCCACTCCAACAATACTAGCAAAGGGGACAAGTGTCTCCTGACAGCTGAAGAAATCTCCAGGAGGAGAATGAGGTTTGCAGCAATATGTATACTAGAGAGCTTAATCGATTTTTTCCACAGTACAAAAAGGGAGTGGGTTGGGGGGAAAATAGGGATCACAGTGAAAATGGGAGGTGGGAGATAAAAAATCCCTTTCTAATAAACTTGTTACTTTTGTTCTCCAAATACATCTTTTCAGAAGATGCTTTGATGCTAGTATGAATACACTTAATGGAGCAGAGTAGGATAGAGTCGCTGGAGGGGGTATGTGAAATAAGGAAGAATAGTTTTGCAAGGAAGATAAATGTAGAGTGATTTCTGTGGATTCCAACACAGGAAAGATCTTGGAAACAGTAAAATAGTGTAATGCAAGAGATACCTGCAAGACAGATGCCTACTTTCTGTACCACCTGCTGGAGGAGCTCAGATCTACCCAAATTCTTGGGTTTGATTTCTAAGTAAAATTGAAAATTTCTTTTTAACCTTTCCATATTTGCTGTTTTCTTAACTGCTTGGAATTACCAGTAATGAAAGGATTGCAGGATCAAATGGCGATTTTGGAAGGCAAGCAATATTTGTGCCTAGCAAATACTGCAATTTCAGACCAGCTGGTGATCTGGTCCCTGCTTCTCATGCTCTGTTGACTTTCTTCAGCTTTTCACATCTGGTAAACAAGACTAAGATCCAATTTGCAGAGTTTGATGGCTATGGTCTTCTTTAAGCATCACTTTGCACCTTGTCTGATGTTTTCTTTGAGAAGTAATGACAGATAATGAGTTATCAACTTCTGAGCAAGGCCCATCTCAGTCAATTAAATCCTTTAAGAACAGTAGGTTCAGGAATCTTCCTTTTTCTTGAGACTCTGACAATGTTTATCCATTACTATTTTCTGAAGATAACCTTCTCACCAGGGCAGAGCTCTAAGCAGTATCTGCTATCCTAAACAGTTCCTGTCCCTTTACCCCTACATCCCCTTCTCTTTCTCCTGAGGAGTTTAAATTCCCCCAAGAAGGTAGGAGTGATAGAGGAATTGAGAAGAACTATTACATTGCTTTGAGAGGCTGTACACTCATGCTGATGGCAAACTGTAATCCTGTCTAGTTGTTCAGTAGGTGTGCCATCATCCCCCCTCCAGTGAACGCCACTGTTCTGTTCAGACCAGCTGATGTGGAGAATATTTTTGACAGTAGAATTTCCTGAACTCCAGCTGTGCAAAGCCTGATGCATGAATTACTGTAACTCATCAGGGAGGGCTAATTGTCAAGGGCATTGATGCTCTCTTGATTTCTGCCTCTTTGTTGTATCTTTTCTTCCTTCTGGTGCAGAAGGACTTGAGCTGCTACTGCTGTCTTCAAAGGAGCGGAGACCACCTCTGTCCCTCACAGCACCAAGGTGGAGGCCCACTCTCTTCAGGTGGTTCTTGTGTGACTTCTCCCTCATGTACTATGTACAGTGACAGGATGCAGGTCTAGGTTGGAGCAGGGAAAGACATTGCTTGTGGGGAAGTCTGAGCTGTCAGGCGACATTCTGTAGTCCTCCATGACAATGGAAAACAGCTGATGCACTGCTACACGAGCCACCAATATTGCCATGGAGTACAAGGCAGGCTGCTAGATGATGTGTCCCCATAGTTGTGGTTAGCATAGGATGTCGGCATCATGAGCAGTGAGCTGGGACACTGTTCTTTGAGATGAAACATGAACATCCTCATTGTAAAGAGTCTTTTGTGCTTTCTCATTTGGGCAGGCAAGCCCTTCAGCCGCTGCTGTCCTGAAATTTCTTCATATGTTCATATTAACTTTCACACCTCCAACCAGAAAGGTGTAGCAAAGACCCTAGAGCTGCCAAAGCTGCCTCACTGGGGCAGGTTTTTTTTGGCATGCCAGCAGTAAGATTAGAGATATGGAAGAAGAGGGGGTGCGTTGCCTCTCTTCCTGTGAAATGCGTGCAGTGATCCTGCCTAACTGTAGGTCATTGAAATTTATGCTGTGCTTTTGGGGCAGATTTATGTAGCTCTTTGCAGCTCACTGTGTGCTTACAGGAAGGAAGATCGATGCCTGTATGGCTTGGCCTGGCTGCTGCAGTCCAGGCCCAGTCTGTTTGGAGGCAAGACTGAATCTATTTCTCCAGAGCACATTGCAAGGGAGGAGGGAAGAGGTCTGTATGGACCTGAAGGCAGCATGCAGAGCAAGTGACAGCAGGAATATAGGCTGCAGGGATATAGCAGAGAGGGGAAGATTGGCTTTTTTCTCACATCTAACCCAGCAGGCTGGTGCTTTCTCCCCAGAAGCCAGTTACCCTCTGCTGGTTTGTGTTTGGATGAAAATCAAAGAGTAAAGATTGCAAAGCCTCTTTGATGTGCTTAGTCTACATTGAGGCAGAGCTACCTGACCAGCTCAGGAGGTTGTTACATTTCCTGGCTGCTATCTGGACAGGGACCGTCTGGTCATTGTTTCAAAGTCTGGAAAAGGACACACTGTTTTAATGGTAAATAACCAAGAAGATGGTGCCCAATAGCTTAAAAATAGGCCATTCCCATGGAAGGGCTTTCAGCTGGACTGATTGTACACACTGGCATTTTCCTGACATGACCTAGCAATCATGGCTATAGAAATCCCATATTTTCAGCATGGATTTGGCTTGTCTTTAAGTGAATGTTTTCTGGTCATTAGCATCCACTAGGAGTTCTCTGAAGCCAAACAAATGTAAAATTATGACTTTGGAGTATGATAAACCCCCACCCCCGCCCACATGCAAACCCTTGTTCAGACATAAAGGTGTTTCAATTTGGTTTTGTTCAATTTAGTATCTAACAGAGGTCCTTTGCAAGATGGCCACTGCTTAGTTTGATGTAACTTGCCTGAATGTCTGCATGGAATTACTACTTTAGTTGAGTGCAGTTTGTACCAACAAAGAGAATTCTCTCCCTTTTTGCAAACATGTGATGTGAGTGAATGTTGATATTCACCGTCCCAGAATTAATGCTACATTATGTGCTTTCATATTGGGTTACATACACAGGGATTTGGATCCAAAGAGGTAAGTCTAGCTGTAGTGGGGACAGCATGATTTAAAGTCTGGTGGAATTCACACCTTTCTGTAGAAGACAGATGGTTGTGCTGGGGGAGGGAGGTTGCACCTGTTTGTTTCCACATCTGCTCTGTAATCCCAAAATTTGGTTCACATAGTCTCAGTACATTGAGTATACTTACTGACGTGTGAGTTTCATAGTGTTGGCAAACACTTTCAGTTCTAGAGTGCCTTTGATGGTGTTTGAGGCAAATGTCCAGGAGGAGTTAATTACACAGAGAGTAACCAGAGCTTCGAAAATAACCCTCTCATGAGTAATAATTTTTGAAAAAATTCAAACCAGTATCTGAGCTTACTTCCTTTAAAAACAGAAATAATGAACCAGTAGGTTGTCAGAGAGCTTGTTAGAGTTGTCCAGTTTTGGTGTGAAAACCAGTTGTAGCATGAGTATAAGAATGAAGAGATGTGCTCAGAAGAGATGGTAGTGTTTTACTTGCCAGGTGCTGACAGAGGACTGCTCCCTGCACAGGGGACTGTACAGCTCCATGCCTCACCAAAGGTGCCCACAGGCATCCTGTGTTCAGCCTGGGGAGTTTCTACCCCAAGTCTTTCCTTGGCTTCCTGCCTTCCTGGGGCTTGGTGGTTGCTGTCTTAACTAGAGATTGTGCATGTGCTTGGCTTTAGAGACACCTGTTGGTCCAAAGTGCTCTCTTGTCCCATTTGAGCGGCTACCATCCTCACGGGCTGTGCATTGCCTGAGACAGGGAGCAGTTGGATCCCTAGCCAGTGTCTGGGTCAGGCCCTGAGGCCATCGCCTTGGGAGAGCCCTGCTGTCCTGGAGGGGTCCAGGCAGCCACATCTGGAGGGTGATCTTTTCTGGTCTTCTCTTTTTATGGGCAACGGAAGGGTCCCTAGGGCTAGGAGCTGCGGCAGCCAGATGGTTTTCCTTGAGGCATAGGGGATGGGAATGTTTGCATTCCCAGGGGAAGGCTGAGGAGGAAGGAATGCTTGCAGCACCCTTCCTGTGGAGGCAATCAGCTTCCTCTGTCCCCCAGCAGCCACCACTCTTCCCTGGCCTGCTCCAGAGAGCCATTCCTGCCTGAAATAGATGCAGTGTCTGAGAGGAGCACAAAGCAGGTAGTAACAGCCTGTGGCTGTTCTTGCAGATGAGGAAGGAAGAGTAAACAAGGAGGAACCCTGCTTAATTTAGGTAGGTGGCTGAGGAGCTGTGGGGATAGGGCCCTAGAGGCCCTGAGGCTCTGTGGTGGTCAGGCAGACTGTCATCTTAAGGAGCAAGATTGCCCCTGCTTCGACCTGCCCCTTTATATCATCTATCTTAATCAAGTCACAGGCAAAACGTCATTGAGTTAAATGTGGTGAGTCCATTCCTTCTGAGCAGCCAAGATCCAAGAAGGGAGTACCTGTGGAGCTGTAGGAGGCACGGGTTGTTGATGTCTAGACTGGCAGGCTCAGAGCAGGAGCAGCTTCAGAGAGCCTTCAGCAGGTGGCTGTGTGTCTGTGACCTCGTGGGATGAAAAGAGCACTTACCAGGAACTCTGTCTTTTCCTCCCTTCTCCCTCTCCCTCAGGTGGTCTTTGCTTTGAATCAGACTCTCTTGCAGCAGGAGAGCCTCCGAGCAGGCAGTTTCCAGATTCCCTATACGACAGAAGACCTTATCAAGCATTACAACTGTGGGGACCTCAGCTCCATCATCTTCAACCATGACACTTCTCAAGTGAGTCTTGCTGCTGCAGCTCTTGTCCTACACACATCTCCCTGTAGTGCTAATCCCTGTAACACATGTGCTCGTCTCTCCTCAGGCAGGCCCTTTCTGCGTGAGGGCTAGGGGCATGGTGACTCCCTGGCACATCTGCTTTCCTGAGCTTTCTGTTCCAGGAGTCTGCACCGCCTCAGCCCCTCTCTTGCACACAAGCAGCAAAGGTGCACCTGGCTTTCCTTTTTGGATGAGTGCCACGTTCACTTTAGCATCAAAGCTCTATGAGTTAATCATTTACTTTCTTAAGGATCCTGTGGAATTACGCTAGCTTAGGTATGAGCAAACTTCACGCCAACAGAGAGCAGTAACAGGCTCTCTTGAGCGAATGGGAGCAGAGAAATGCACTTGTGACTTGGACATTTGTGTACGGCTGGGCGAGTTACAAGCTTTTTAAGGTTTCCTATCAGTATGGTTGTGTGCTGTGGACAAGGCCAAAAGAAGAGAAATGGAATAAAACAAAGGAAAAATAGATTTAGACTGAATGTGAAGGAAAAGAGACCTTCTGAGACCTCACGGACTTGGGTTTATGGAGATAGTTTCCTAAGCAACACAATGGAATGCAACACTGATCTTTAAACCATGAGAAAATGCCCAGCAGGGACCAATTTGGTCTGTATGGGCTTTTAGATTAACTAACCTCAGGCTGAGACATCAGGCCTCTCTGTTCTTGTCTGTGAAGTGTTGCCTGGCAATTTGTGCACATCAGTGAAAACACGGGCTCTATCCTTAGAGTGCTGAAAAGGCAGGTGTTGATACCTGAGCTTTCTGTGCTGAATAACCCTTTTGCTGTGACTCTTGATGCATACAGTGCAGCATGCAGAGATGCAGAGTCAACCCTTGCTTCTCTGGTGCCAGGCTTTGCGTGCATGCTGCTGCCTTCGTGTCCTGCACACCCACCCTCCTGCAGGTGCAGGCATCCTGGTCATTAATGCTGCCTAGTTTCTACACCGTGCATTCCATGCAGAGGTTTCAGAGGATTTCTCAGAGGAGACCAGCATTTTAAGAGGGTGCAGATGCTCCATCACTATCCTGTGGAAGTATTACAGACTGCAGACATTGCCCCTAGGTCCTTGGAGAGAGCAGCTCTTTCTGACATATGCATGTTGACAAGGGAACAACTGTCCTTTACTTAATGTGAGGGGCTCCACCTCAGGGCACTTTCCTTGGCAGCAGAGCAGAACACTGATAGTTTGCAATGCTGTCAGTTTTTGTTTTGAACAGAACTTCTCAGTAAGTTGTATTTGACTCCATGCTTGCCCAGTAGATGATCACCTGTGGGCTATAACTACCCTTTGGAAAGATTCTGTCATAGTCTGAGTGGCTCCAAAGTCTCTTTGTCTGCTGCAGCCTCGCAGGGAAAAGCACCTGGCTTATTAGTGGCTCTGCTCTCCAGAAATCACCACTTGCAGGGCCTTTAGTTAACCTTCCCCATAACTGAATGCCTAAAGCTACTTGTCAGAAAGCCGGGATTGCTGCAACAATTCCAGACCCACGTTTTCTCTCCACTGGTGAGAGGTCAGGGTAATGTGCAGCCGCAGCTGTCCTTGGGGGCCCCACGGGAGGAAGCCAGCATTTTAAAAGATACTGTCAGGACAGGGCAACTGGAGTTGCTAACGCATTCTTTCCTGACAAAATCTGGCCCTTTTAAAGTTTGGGGATTTTTTTAACTACTTCAAATTGCACAATTATTCTTTGGCAGCCTGAGGGCTCTGATACTCGTCAAATTCTCTTAGAAGAGTGTAATTATCATTATAGTTATGTCATACCTATGGCAATTTAAGAAAGAGGTATGTAGTTAAAGGCAGTTAGGGGCAAATACTTAGTTTCTTCAACTAAGCAATCAAGATTCAGGATTTTCAGTGTGGCAAGATGATGGTATTGGTTGACTTTGAATAAAAAAAATCCGTCTGGCTAGCTTATGAAATGATACATTGAGAGAAATGAAGCACCATGCATCAGTAGAAGTTTGCTAAGTATTTTTTAACTTGCTTTGGATTTTGTCCTACTGGCTTTGCCTTGAGGGATGAGGCAGTTGCTACACTCCGTGTGGAGCAAAAATGCCTGTGCATCATGGCTGCCTGTGAAATAAATTCCTGTTTCATTAAGACTTTTTTTTTTTACCTTAGGTCCCAAATTTCATTAATGCTTCACTTCCAGCCCATGAACGCATTACTGCCCAAGAAATAGACAGCTACTTCCGCCAGGAGCTCATCTACAAACGAAATGAGCGAATGGGCAGGAGGGTGAAGGACCTACTGGAAGAGCACCCAGACAAGAGTTTCTTCTTTGCATTTGGAGCTGGTATGTGATTGTGGTGCTATTCAACCTGAACTCGTCCTTTCCATGTCCTTTAGAAGCATTTTGAAAATGCTTGCCTCAGTTTAAAGAGGGGTCAGTACTTTTACTGTGGTGGAGACAGAACTCAGCTTTTCCCCAACAGTCACACCCTAGTAGGAAAACCTTTTCAGTGTAGGAGACTGTTTTACTTCAGTGTGCAAAGAGCTCACAGTGCATGTTCTTACTGCAATATCTGTAAATTACAGACATATTTGGTGGATGCAGAGGCAAAGATACTGAGTCAACTCTAGTGAATACAGAGGAGGAACAGGTCATAGACCTACACATGTGTTTATTGTCTGGCCCACCAGTGCAAGAGGATAGGAGGAATAGGGAGTTGAGATGAAAGGCATCATGTCTGAGGCTGCACCAGTGCTTGAAATAACCTTTCAAGGACATGTTCAAAAGAGGAATATGCCAAATTGTGTGAATCTAAGGGATACAATAAATGCAAGGGAAGAAGCAAGGCACAATTTCGCCTTTCTCTTCTTCCTGCAGCTCCTTGCCTCTTTCACTGTGCTTCCACAAGAAAGTTGTTTCTACTGCTATATTGGAGCAGTGCAGTGGGCCTCGCTGGGGAAAACCTACTCCATTTGCTGCCTCTTAGCAGCCAGCAGGACTCTACAGGCACATCCAGCAGCACATCCAACTCAATAAGGTCAGCGTCTACACTTCAGACTAGGGCTGGATGGAGGGTATGAATACAATTGTTTTGCCATGACTCCTGTGCTTTGTTCCATCTCCAGGGAAAGGAAGAAGTTGGTATCAGTGTCAGAAAAGACAGGTGCTAATTTCCAGAGAAGTATCACATCTGCCATGAGCCATATGGCCTTTGGGAAAGGGGGAAAACTGAGACTGGTCTCAGTATCCATGTGTGGTTTTCCAGTCTTGGTGCATACTGTTTTAGTGAGGATGAAAGATCTAGATAAAGCAAGGAAAATATTTACTTAAACACTAAAAGCATTTACATTCAGAGTCTATGAGAGTTTCTGTACTTACAGGAGGGAGTTGTGGTTACAAACTTAGCATAACAAGGGTCCAGTGTGTGAGACCCGGGATGTCAGGAAAGGTGGCTGACCATGTTTGTTCAGATATGTGAGAAATTTGTAACCTGCAGTCTTCCTGCAGTATCACTGCTCTATGCAACTTGCTGTCACAAAGATCTATGAAGCAGCTCCAGGCTGTGTAGATTCTGGTCATGTCTTTCTGTAGGCTAAGACCAGGGCGTTGCTGCACTCCATGGCTGAAGTTCTGACCATTTGAACCTGTTGCACAGATGTTTCTGACGAAAGCATGCGTAAGCCCGAAGTCCAGGCTGTATCTGTTGCAAGTAGCTACTGTTCTGTCAGGAGGCCAGTTACAGATATTTGGGCTTTGGTTACTGCATCACAACTTGAACGATAAGCAGCCCTTTTAAGCAGACATATGTGTCCCTCTGACATGTCCCAAGAGCAAGATCCTTTGAGAGGGGAAGTGTTTCTTCCCCTCCTTGCCCACTCTGAATCCCAGCAGCTGCAGATCACATGTCTTTAGATGGTTTTGTTTTCCCTCCCATCAGTTTCTCTCTATTCCTGCTCTTTTGCCCCAGACTGTCTTCACTGTCAGTCGTGTGCACAGCACTGCCCCAGAGTCCAGAAGCACTGTGGGACCAGGACAGATCCCTGTCCTTCATTTCTCAGCTTTCTTGTTCTCAGCTTTCATGACAGTACTAAAAGCCTTTCCTAGGCTTCCTGGAATCTTCCCAAGCTTCCTGGAATCTTGCTTTTCTTTTTCCTTTTATTTTCCCAATTCCCCCTTTTCTGTCCCCTGATTGCCAACATTTCTATACTGTAGCACTCCCGGGAGCCTTGTGCCTAGATGAATACCCTTGATCTTTGGCTTATGTGTACATGGCTTGATCTCTGAGCACCTGGTATGTTCTCCTCATGCTTTTTCCATAACAGTTTTGAACCCAGACAGCTTCCCTGTCTTCTCTGGGGACTTTGGACTGATTTTTCGATTGTCTCTAATTACTTTCTGGCTTTGATACCAGTCTATCCTCTGTTCTCATCTGCTCGTCCAAATAGTTCCAAATAGGATAGTGCCAGCCTCCCACATCTAGCAACACAATTCTTCGTTATGCCCTTGTTTGACTGCATGAGGTTTTTTGGTGGGTTTTTGTTTGTTTGTTTTGTTTGTTTCATTTGTTTATTATTAAGCTTCTAAACGAGAAGTAGCATCACAGGATCTATTGCAGAAAACAGATCAATTTCTACAGATTTCTGAGGTTTCCTGAGTGCGTATTGCAATTATGAATGCAGTCTTTCATTGTTTTCCAGCAAGCTAATTCAGACTTTTGGTTATGCAGATTGCTGTATGTGATAGATAATTATGTGGAAGAGTTATTTTTATGCCAGCAAGCAGTGAAGATGAATAAATATCTTGTGATCAGTTTTAAGCATTTCTTGGAATTGTACTGCTGTTAATTACTGTGAAAAGGTTCCAAGAAAGTGCTCATACAAGGCAGGTTAGAATGAGTAGTAGGAAAAGAGAAGGAAAAAAAAGGCTATAGGAATGGAAATAAATCATGACTGCATGGTGGTTTGCCCTCTTCTGACCACCAGTGAAGAAAGCATCTCCTAGCAGTAGCTTATAAACTGCAGGACAAAGTTGTATTAAAATGCTAGTAGGATATTTAAGGGTCTCGCAGTTAGAAGGGGAGAGAAGACTTTCAATTGTTTTCTTCCCAGATTTTTTTCACCTTATTTTTTTTTAACAAAAAATGTATTCCTTTTTAAATGTATTTATTTTTAAAACAGCTAGGCTTTTTGTAAGGAAAGTTCAGTTTTTCCATTAACAAAATACCTTGAAATAACAACTTTTAGCGTCAATCATATGCAAACAAGGTTACAGTTTGTGGGTGACTGTGGGATTACGTATACCGTCTCTTGTTACTTAAACTACACTTGGTATTTTTATTTTAAATGGAGGAAAATCAAAAAAATACTGATTTATTTTATATTCTAACTGAATTGATGGGATTTAGAGATCTGTAATACATTGTGCAAAAGAAGTCTCCTGTCTTTTCAGGTTGTGATATAACTGCATGGCTATAGATGTTGAATTCTTACATGGAATTATGTGTGGTAATTTGGGCCATAATCGATTTGATCATTAAATTCAGCACATTTTATGCCTTTTTTAAAATCAGTCAGGCAAACCCTCCCTATATTCTGTCAAAAAATGCTTCACAGTCAGAGCTCATTTCTGGAACTATTTTTGTTTGAAATTATTTTAATAATTTGCACCAAAGAGGAGAACTAAAAAATAACGGATTTTGCTGGAAAGATCCAAAACACTTTGCTGCTGGCCAGAGTGCAAACAAGGAAAGTTTCAAGCCAAAATGAGTCTCTTTGAGGGAATTTGAGGAAAGCATGGGAAGAGAGAGTTGGCAATGCCAGCAGCATTCCACTGTGTTCAGTAAAGATTTATCTTAATTGTGGACAGGCCTTTATGTATGGCAGCACCAGGGTTACAAGCCAGGCCTACTCCCTGTTGCCAGCAGTGGAACTTGTGAAGCAAGGCCAGCTATAGTCTTTTACCAGCAGTCTTCCTTGTGTATGCATTTTTAATTTCTCTGAATAGTTGAGTGGCACATTCAGGGTCTGGATGCTAAACCAGTTTAAGTGATGGTACACAGCTGGGTAATGCTGTAGGTTTCTGGTTTTCTAGGAAGAGAACACTGACACAGTGAGAACTGCATTGTCCTGGGAAGAGTTTTACCACTTGTCCAGCTTTGACAAGGATACTGCATGCTGGCTAAACCCTCCCAGAGTCAAGGAATAGTTGAGACTGATAGAGAGCTCTGGAAATTGTCTTATTCATCCCTCTGCTCAGAGGGCAGGAGTATGGGCAAGGATGAAGACTCCAGAATCTCTCTGGGTAATCTCTGCTAGTGTTTAATCATGAAAGATATTTTTTCTTATGTTTAAGTGGGGCTTACTCTATCAGTTTTTGTGTGTTGCCTTTTGTCCTTTCATGGGACATCACAACTGGGAAAAGTTCTGTTCTGTCTATTTTGCAACCTCCTATCAGGTATTTACGCATAAGTTTTGGCCCCCAGGCCTTCTATTGTCCAGGCAGAACAGTCTCAGCCTGTCCTAGTATGACACGTGTTCTAATTGTTTCATCATCTTTGTGGCCCTTTGCAGCACTCTCTCCAGTATGTCCTCATCTCTTTTGAACTGGGAAGCTCAGAGCTAGACACTGGACGGACCAGACGTGTTAGCAGGGCTGAGGAGCAGGGAAGGATCACCCCCCTCAATCTGCTGATATCACTTCTCCTCACACAGCCCAGGAAGCCAGTGGCTGCCTTTGCCACAAGGACACATTGCTGGCTTAACGCCTACTTGATGACCACCAAGATGCCACATCTTTTTCTGCCAAAGTAGTCTTCAGCCAGTGGGTGCTCAGCCTGTTGTGGTGCCTGGAGCTATTCCTGCCCAGGTGCAGAACCTGATTTCCTGAATTTTATGAACCAAGTTTCCCCTTACCATAAATCCATACTGACCACTCCCAACCATTTGTTTATCCTTGACACACTTGGAAATAGTTTGCAGGCTAATTTGCCCCACTACCTCCCCCAGGAACAGAGGGGTGGCTGAGTAGTTTGTAATTCCCCAAATCCTCCTTCCTGCTCTTCTTGAAGAGTTACACTTGCTTTCTTTCAGTCCTCAGGGACCTTCCCCACTTGCCATAACCTTTAGAAGGTAATTGAGAGTGGCCACACAGAGACATTAAGCAAGCTCACACAGTTTCTCTGGATGTATCCTGTAGGGACTTGAACATGGCTGGTCTATTTGAATGTTCTTTAACCTGATCCTTTTCCACCCCTAGTGAGCCTTCTTTGCCCTGCACTTTCCCCTTAGTCATAGGAACTTGAGATCTCTGAAGGCTGGTATGACCACTAAATAAAGTAACAGAGA